TCTCACAAGAGTGGAGCAGAGGGGCAGAATCACGTCCCTTGACCTGCTGGCCACTATGAAACTATGTGTTTTGCTGGGAGGAGTTCCCACGCGCAACTCGTCGGCAGCCGTGTTTGCAGCGTAAGGGCAGTGCATCACCCTTTGCACGTTGGTTTTTCATTGACTTTCTTCTTCCTCGCATCCTTAAGGTCCCTTGGTGGCCTTGCACGTGGGCTTGCGCTCTTCTCCCCATCCTTCGGGAGCAGCCGGGTGCCGGGGAAATCTTTCCAGATGGGAGCCATCGTGTCCCCGGCGGCGCTGCCATGGGCTCAGCGCTGCGGCCACCGTGGGCTGCCAGCAGAAACAAAACAGCTCCTGCTCCTTCCCCCATCCCCTGGATGCTTGGAAGCCCCATGAGATGATACTAGCTTCAAAGAGAAGGTTTAAGTCTATACAGTGGGGAAAAAATAAATGGAGGGATAAATAGTAAAATTAAATGGAAAAATAAAGCTGTCAGCTTTTTGAAAACTCAGAAGTTCTCATGAATCCAGAACTGAAGCATCACTCACAAAAGCACCCCAGTGGGATAATGCAATGGGAAAGCAGTGATTTTTTTTTTTCTCAGCCAGAGAATATTTCTAGGTTTTCATTTGTAGGCGATGCTTCCCGCAGCCCGGTGGGCTCCACGGGGAAAGGGGTTTGGGCAAAGGGTGGCAGCCCGGGGAGGGGCAGATCCCGCCGGAGCCGGCAGCACCTCCACATGCCAAAGCTGGAGGTGAAAAACAGCACGGCAGAGCAAGGCGCCGCTTTCCCTGGGATGCTTTCCAGCTGGAAAGCACGGCCTCTGCCAAAGCCATCTGCTGAAGGACCAGACGTGAAGATGATGTTTCGAAAGCGGACTTTGTGCCTGCCCGCCCACCTCCTGAGCACCTTGCTCCGGCGACGGGACAGCGCGCCAGCAGGAGCTGAGCAGAGGCAAAGGATGCCGAGCTTTTTCTTTTTCAAGCCGGAATCAACGTTGATGCATCAGCGTCCCATCGGCTGCTTTTCCCCGCTGCTCCCGCACTACAGCCCCCTCTCCATCTGAAGGCTGATGCTCCCCGCGGCCGCTGGGGCTGGGACCCCCCCCGAGCCCCCACCGGGCTCTCAGCTCTCCCATGCGGCACGGGAGCTATTTCTGGCATGGGAAAGCCTCCACCGGCTACCAAAAACCAGAAATCTGCAGGAGAGACCCTGGCCGGGAGCCGCCCACCGCACAATGACGGCTCTGGGCAGCCCCAAACCCTTTGCCAGGGATTTTGCCGGCGTTTCTGGGCTGTCTGCATCCCCGGGGCCGCGGGGCGATGTGACGCTGCTTACAGGAAATACTGACTGAGGTTAAAGGAACGAAATTCCGGATTTCTCCAGTGAAACAGGCGCTCGAGCTTCTCGCTTCCTCCCGGTGTGGCGGGGGCTGGGTGGAGCCTTGCCCAGCTTTATGTGAAAGGATAAAAGAGGGAGCGCTGGAAAAAAAAAAAAAAAAAGAGAGATGCCAAAGTGCTGAGGTCTGGAAGCAGCATCTCGGGAGCATCCGTAGCACACGCACGGAGACCCACGTTAAGGAGTAAAAACACATCTCCGGGATGCTCGGAGCTCGTTTGTGCTGGCGCTTCGTTTGGGAGTGACTTGTGAAGTTGAATTTCTGGATGCAGGAAATATTTGGAGCCCCTTTTCTGCTACCCCCGTGGGGCAGGAGGGGTTTCCGCAGTGGGGAATTCGTGGGTTTTCTCCTGCGTGGGGATACGCCACGAGGCATCTGAAAAGGTTAGTGAGGGAGAGATTGAGCAAATGGCCCTTTTGGTAGAATTTGGGGCTTTTTTTTTTGCAATAGGTCCAGAGCAGAGGGGCACAGATAGCAGAAACGAGATGAAAGTCAGAGTCGCAGGGTCATGGAGCAAATTGAGAGCTTAAAAAAATATCGAAACGCACTTTTGTTCTTTTTCAATATTATAGAAAAAATTAATTTTGACACGAAAACTCATCCCTTCAGACAAAGGAAAACGTAGGATTTAGTGAAACTCTGGAAAGCCACTCCTCAAGCTGCAGTCGGGGTGTTTTTCCTTGCCTTGCCCGGCTCCGACCGCTTGGGTAGGTTTGGCACAGATTCACAGCGCGCTGTTGGACGTGAGTCTGCATTTTTTCAGAGCAGAAACCTTTCCTGCCAAAAATGTCTCTCTGTTCTCGTTTTGTATTTTTTGGGGGGGTTAAATCCTCAAGGATCTGTGTCCTTTTTTTTTCCTTGCAGCCTGGGGATTGCCGACAGCGCCGCCTCCATGGCAAACACGCAGCCCTGGTGCTGCCGTGCATCCTCGGAAGGATGCTCCCGGCTGATGCCGCTGCTGGTGGGGTGGAAGATAATTGCTGGGATTTTGGGTGCGGGATCCTCGCGCAGGACTCTGCCTAGGGGCGGGTTTCCTGCAGGCAGGGTGTCAGGGAATATCGGCACAGCGGGGGGTCCGCTCGCACGAGGTCACCGCGACGTGTCCCTTTGCCATTAGCCCTATAACGCCCAGCGCGGGTTGTCACCCTCCGCTGCTCCTCACTCTGCCTTTTGCCACTCAGCCATGAGTTAATCCTGCCGCTGGGCTCGCTTGTAAGAGTTAGAGATGGAAACGCTACCGTTGGCGGTCTTAAAGCGTTCCCTTTTCAAATTCGGGAGATGCTGCTCAAACGCACCCTGCTCCCAACCCCTGTGCCCGTGGCGGTGAGTTTGGGGCGAAGCAGGGACTCAGTCGGAGTTATTTAGGATCAGAGCAGCCACCGGAGCGTTCCTCTGGTGGTGCCTCACGCTGAGAGATGCTCTCAGCAGATGACCCAGAGTTTAAGTACACACTTACACGCTTTTATCAATAGATGCTGGTTATGGAGACACGAGCGGCTGCGAGTCCTCGGGCGTGCGATTACCCTCTGTTTGGATAGAGCCGAGTACTTATGTTGCTCTAAGGTGGCTTAGTCTCTTATGCTGTTCCACACACTGAAAGTGCCTTAAATCTTTATAGATTTTATGGTGAACACTCGTGCTACCGTAAGGGCTGTTCAAAAGAAGATTGAAATGAAAAAAGAAAAAAAAAAAAAACAAAAAACCAAACCCCAGTCTTTTTTTTTTAAACTTAGAAAAAGCAAAGTAGTGAGGGAGGACAAGCAAAAGGGCACTCATTTCTGTGCACGCAGCTGCAGCCCTTGGACTTGCTACGGGAAAGCAGGACGAGCTGGTGGGTCCTCGGGATCTCTGGTCCGCCAGGATCAGCTCGCGGGATCCCTGGGAGCATCTCACCCTTGGGAGCGATGGGAGCCGGCCTGCGGTACGCGCTCCCACGATGCTGCGGGTTAATCCACGCAGCGAGACCCAGGCAAAAGAAGCGGAGACAGCTCAACACAACGCGTACCAGCTCTGCGGTGCTCGCTCCCTGCCTAAGTGCTCTTATCCTGCCCTGATGCATGCTTTCCTGTGGTCCAGAGCAATCCTTTTCCAAGCCATCGCGTTAAAAGCCGTAATTCATTTGTCATGTGCACACGAAGTAGTCGTGCTGCGTGTTCTAGATAAGCCATTCATGCTGAAAAGGAGATCAGCTTAAATTTTGCAAGAGTAGAGAGCCTTTTAATGCCTTTTGTGACTTGTACCTTTGCACCAGGGAGACACACTACGTTTTTTCAAGGGTGGTGTATCCGCAGATCTGGGCCGCACCGATACTGCTGTGCCTCGTCGGGCAAAATCCCAATTGGAAATGGAAAAGCAACCGGGGAACAGCCCCGGTGGGGTATTTTTGGAAGGCTAAGCGCTCTGTGTTTGCCCGGCAGATGTCATGGCGCCCGCAGTACCGCAGCTCCAAGTTTCGGAACGTCTACGGGAAGGTGGCGAGCCGGGAGCACTGCTTCGACGGCATCCCCATCACCAAGAACGTCCACGACAACCACTTCTGCGCCGTCAACGCCCGCTTCCTCGCCATCGTGACAGAGAGCGCCGGCGGGGGCTCCTTCCTCGTCATCCCCCTCGAGCAGGTAAGAGGTTTGGCCCCGGCGGAGGTGACTCCGATCTGGAGACGGTCCCTAAGTGCGGGTGTGTGGATGCACGCTCTGTCCCGGGAATCCTCCTCCTGCAGCGGGACGCGTCGAAGCCTCCGCTGTCCTTTACTGGGGTTTTCTTGTGCGGGGAAGGGAAGATTTACAGCTGCCTTAGCGAATTGGGTTTTTTTTTCTTTAGGAAGAAAATGAAACATTTGTTAAAAGCTTCTCTTTGCTCCGGCGTTTTTGGCATCTCTCAGTCAGCACGTGCCGGCGGGGCGGGCGTTGGGCGCATCTCCATCCTTCCCCTCGGCAGCGGCAGAGGCCGCTCGGGTTTGTGACCCCGGTATGTCACCGACACGGCTCCCGGAAAGTCCCTGCGGAGCCCCCCCTCCTGCCGAGCAGGTAGCAGTCCTTGCCCTTTCTTTGAGCGTGTCCGTATAATCTCAGCCCTCAAATTTCACACCCTGAGAGGGAGCGCACGGCTGCGCACCCAGTTTTACTGATGCAAAACCCCGGGGGCTTTTGCTTTGTACCCTCCGGCGGATGCCACCTCACGTGAGATTTATTTCTAAGAGACCATCACCAAGCCGTAGCCCCTTACAAGCAGCCGGTGCGCGGGAGCCGTGTGCTGCGCAGAGGGCTCCGGGCTTTGCTTTGCGACTGTACCCACGGGAGAAGCGGCGGCGCGTACACCTCTGCACCGTCAATGTTTGCAGCACGCGCCCTTCCTCCCCACCGCGCTGGGCTTCTGCCTCCCCGGCTGAGACTTTCCCCAGCTCTTTGCACGAGTACCCACGTGAATCCGCACCTCCCTTGCTCACGCAAGTTGACGTTCCCAGAAATTCAGCTGATGCTTCAGATGCTTCACAGGATCCCACTGGGAGTGCCCGGCAGACGCAGAGCTGCACCTCTTGGAGGAAAAGCTGTGCAGACACGACCTTGAACATGAAATAAATATTACCTTCTCTTTTTTTCCTGAACCCTCAGTGCCCGGCACTGCCGCGGGGTACCACGGTTGCACTGATGCTGCTTCTCTCCTGCTGGTGCTCCAGCGTGTGGACCAGCAGCTCCAAACTGGTACCCGCATCCCATCCCTGGGCATCCTGCCCTCGCCCCACGGCTCTTGGGCTGCAGGATGGGACACGGGTCTCCGAGACACTCATTCTCAGGAGCATCTTTGACATCGGAGGAGCTGCACTCACTCCCCTTAAAGCTGCACCATGTAATTTGAAGACGCACCGCGTATGAAGACATGTGACATGGATGTGGAGAAGGTGTTTGTCTCTCAGGCTGCCGGACAGCGAAGTTGCGGTGCCAAACCCACCGGGGTTTCCAGCGGGGAGGGGAAGCTGGCCGAGCTGGCCGCACTGGGATGGAGGAGCGCTCCTCTCTGGGCCCCTCTACACCCCGTCTCCCCACACCCTGCCATTCCTCTTAGATGTTTTCCCCGTGTAACGTTCACATCTCTTCTGAATTTCCCTTTAATTTCTGGAGTAGAATCAGCTACAGATGGAAGAAATTATAATCAGCGTTTTAATTGCGGCGCACAGCTTGACTCCTATTAATATTCGAAAAAACAGGAGCTTTGTCTGAGCACTCGGAGCGCTCCAGCCTCCATCTCTGCCTCCCTCCCCGTGCCACCGAGCTGGGAGGATGCCCGTCCACACACCGCTTGCTCCTAGTCCTAAATCCTGAGCTAATAACCGGTATTACCAGCAATTTACCCTTTTTTTTTTTTGGCAAACGTAGTCCGGTCCCAGCAGGATGAGAGCAGAGGGAGTGCGATGCCATTTGCAACCTGTTCCGAAGGGATCGTCAGCCCTGTGTGGAAGTCCTGGCGATATCGCACCCAATAAATATCAGCTGGAGCGGACCTTGGCACTCTGTGTCAACTGGCTGCACACGCCTTTGTACAATCTAATAATTTCTTAATTTCTTTTCTTTTTTTTTTTTTTTCAAATAGGGACTGATTAGCTCATTAAGAGTAAACTAATTTTCTTTGGAAATCAGCAGCCCTCTAATTAATTGGCATCCATATTTAGCCGAACATAATTAAGGTAACCTAGATACTGCAGATCTACTCAGGACTTGATTTGCTGCCACTTTTTTTTAATTTTTTTTTTTTTTTTTTACATATCTGCCCTCTGTTCTGCTCAGAAATGTTCACCAGAAACCCCTCTGCTTTATGCTTCGAGTGACAATGCATTTGCATACGCTGGGCCATATGTCCCTCTGCCTTCACATCAGACGTGCTGCTTCCTCGCGCGCTTACGTAGCAATCGAGGCGATGTGCAGCCTCTTCTGTGAGGCTGCGTAGGTTGGAAAGATCCAGCACGGCTGCTTTTTGTTCCCCCGTCCTCTCCAAGCCTGTTCCCCGGCCCCGCGCTGCAGCAGAGCTGGGGTAGCATCCCAAATTCTGGAGACCGCTGGGAACCAGCCTCCCCAGCACCGTGAAGGTTTTGAGCTATAAATATCTCTGGAGAGTGGGCGACGGAGAGCGGGCATGCCGATGCTGGGTCTGGGGCTTGAGAAGATGATTTGCTCCCCAAACCATAGCGACAGAAGGATTCAGTCCACGCTTCAGAGCCTGGAGAGAGTCCGGCAGAGGGCTACGGAGATGCTGAGGGGACTGGAGCATCTCTCCGCTGAGGAAAGGCTGAGGGACGTGGGGCTGTTCGGTCTGGAGAGGAGAAGGCTGAGAGGGATCTCATCAATGCTTATCAATATCTAAAGGGTGGGCGGCAAGAGGATGGGGCCAGACTCTTCGGTGGTGCCCAGTGACAGGACATGGGCAACGGGCACAAACTGGAACATGGGAAATTCTGTCAGAACATGAGAAACAACTTCTTTACTGTGAGGGGGATGGAGGGCTGGCACAGGCTGCCCAGAGAGGTGGGGGAGTCTCCTTCTCTGGAGATATTCAAAACCCGTCTGAACACAACCCCGTGGAACCTGCTGTAGGTGACCCTGCTCTTGCAGGGGCTTGGACTGGGTGATCTCCAGAGGTACCTTCCAACCACCACCAGTCTGTGATAGGGCCACGGAGATGCTCCAGGGGCTGGAGCCCCTCTGCTGGGAGGACAGGCTGGGAGAGTTGGGGGGGTTCAGCCTGGAGAAGAGAAGGCGAAAAAGGGGAGAGCTCAGAGCCCCTTCCAGTGCCTAAAGGGGCTCCAGGAGAGCTGGGGGGGGACAGCCTTGTGAAGGGATGCATGGACAGAGACGGGCTGTGGAATTCGAAGCAAGCCAGGATTTGGGCTCTGTTTTTAAAAAATCTGCACAAAACCCCCAGAAACATCAGGAATGGTGTGGCTACATTTTTACAGCAGATAAATGCACTTAATTGGGAGAATCTGAAATGTCACCCTTTGCCTCCCAAGCAGCAGTGTTTTCCCCGGGGCTGCACATCCCTTAACACCAACACTGAAATCCAGCACGGCCATCAACATCATCAACGGCACAAAGTCACCCATGGAGGAGCCTTCGCCTCTTCTGAGCTTTCAAACACTCCGGGGTGCGTTTCGTAGCATTTCCAGGCTTTTATCGACAGTGATGAAACATTTCTGTTCCTCTGAAAGGAAAGCCGTGGCTCTCACACCCATGTGCGACCCCAGAGCCGGGATGGGGCCGTGCAGCCCCGGGAACACCCCCTCTCCTCCTCCCAGGGGGTTTCCATCCCTGAACCGTCATCTTCAGCTTCGGTCTCTTTAGTCTCCCAAATGCTTTAGCCGTATCCAAACATGAGGGGAACCCCGGGAAAGGGACAAAATATGAAAATACGTAGTGCTTTTTGAAGATACTATATTTGCAGCCCTAAAGTCTGAGAGCTGCTTCCCCCCCACCCCAAGTCCCAGGGCCATGAGAGATTTTGGAAACAGTTATTATATCAAAAAAATAAACTGGCGTGTTTACATGGCTCACCTGCAACAGCCAGCTCCGAAGAAGCTCAGAGAACTCCTGTTTTGGCCAGAACAGCTGAGGAAAAACAATCTTCAGCATCATATGGATCTATTTCAGCTGTGCCTGATTTAGTCGGTGTCATATAAGCAGGGCTGGGGGGAGGAGTGGGGTTGGGTGTTGTGATGCTATGCTGCAGGGGCCCCTTAAGGCAGGCGATGTGCCTGGCGTCGCTCATGCTGCAACAGGAGGATTTTTGTTTCTGTAGGGGATGAAGACAGCTTGTTTTCCACTGCCAGACAATGTTATCTGCCTGTGCACCTGAAGGAAGCAGCCAGCAGGAAGGGGGAGTCTCTGTTTATGTGTCGGAAGCTGAAGTCCAAAGCTGTTGCGTGTGCCTGTGGTAGTGGTGGTTGGTGGTGTGTGTGTGTGGTGGGGCTGAGTGTGGGGCAGGTCCCTCACCCCAGTGCGGATGGGGCTGTCTCGCTGCTGGTGATGTGTGGTGGTGGGCTGGGGGGGGCTGAGCCCCTCTGTGTCCTTGTGGGATGCCCGTTGCTGCTGCTGTGGGGGCTCTGTATGAGCCTGCTCAGAGCAGGGGCAACCCATGGAGGTGAGAGACCCCATGGAGGTCCCCAAACCTCCACGGCAGCCCTGGGGAGATGAGGGCAGTGACAGCGGTTGGGCAAAGCCTGAGTTGTGCTTTGCAGCATCCCAGGGTGGTGGGGGCTGGAAGGCCCCTCTGGAGCTCCCCCATCCCACCCCCCGCCAGAGCAGGGGCACCTCCAGCAGTGGCACAGGACG